AATGAGGTTGTGCATACAAACATTGATGGCAAATCAGTGCCAACTGATATAGAATCTGATGAGGGTGATACCCTTCGGAGTACTCCTGTGTGTAATCCTCCAGAGTCTAGAGATGACAATGGTGCATTGCAAGCCCAGTTGAGGAACAACTTGGCTTAGCTGTTTTTGAAAATGCACAGTGTTCTTCATGTATCAGAGATGGATATACAGGACATAGTTGAAAACTTGTCAGACATATTCTCATTGTCTAAACCTCTAGTGCGAGACTCTATCAAAAGGGTTTTTCAGGAACATGATCAGGCAATTAGCAACTCCCTTCTCCATGATTTAGTGGAAGCTTTGATGAAAAATAATGTTTTTGTCAGTGCCACATCAGATGGTGCAGAGCTGTCTACTGCTAAGCGCAGGAAAACATTTGTAAGAAGTAACTACCCTCTGGTAATGCCAGTGCAGTATGCTGTAGATTCCAGTGGACACACAGCAGTGTATGTGTAAATACTACAGATGCTTTAAACAATGTTTAGCAATACTGACATTCTTGAGAAGATAAAAAAAAAAAACATCAACTTCTGGAATGTACACAACTCATGAAGATGGAAGATCAAAGAAAATCCACTATTGTTAGAAGGTGGAGAGTTGAAACGTTCCCTGATTTTGTATGTGGATGACGTTGAATTAGCTAATCCTTTAGGCATAACTAGAAATATCCACAAGCTTTGTGCCGTTTATTGGTTACTTGTTAACGTACCTAGTAGATACAGGTCCAGTCTGCATGCCATTCAGCTAGCTCTGCTATGCAAAGTACCTGATCTGCAGAAATGCGGTTATCAGAGTGTACTTTCACCTTTGTTGAGAGACTTGTGCACTCTTGAGTAGGATGGCGTGTTCATTGAAACTCTTGGCCAGTGTATCAGAGGCACTGTATTGTGTGTGGCAGCGGATAATTTGTCTGCCCATGGTCTTGCAGGCTTTGTGCAGAGTTTCCGAGGAAACTATGTCTGCAGATTCTGTTGCTGTACTACAAATGAGATCCAGTCCAGTGAAGCTTCTGAAGCGGGCTTAAACATGAGAACAAAGGCTTCTCATGATGTTCACGTGCAGAATGCTGTGCAGGGAGAAAGTGCACCTCACTTTGGTGTTAAATCTGAGTGTGTTCTTAGTGAGGCATTGCAGCATTTTCATCCCATTACTGGTTTCCCACCTGATATTACGGTGGCCGACAGGTGCAAATGCGCAGCAAAAGAGAAAACATGCAAACAAAAAAGAAAACACCCCCGAATGAAATGCAGCAAACAAAAAGAGAGACGCAAACAAAAAAGAAAACGCCCCCGAATGAAATGCAGCAAACAAAAAGTGTTGAAAACGCAAGTGCTCCAGACCACTAGGGGGAGTCAAAGAAAATAGTATTCATTTCTATGGGACCAGATGCAAGATTCAGAGAAAGAAATTTGAAAGAAAGTAAAGGTACGTATTACTATATTTCTTTTCAGATACGCCGTCTTTTATAATATTATAGAATAACAGATGAGATGAAGAGATGTTTGTAACTTTTTATTTTTTTTGTGGTGTATGTACATATCTGGTTTCAACTATACCTATGTGCATACCATTTACCTTTTTTAGGTGGCCATGTTTTGCTGTTTCTGTGGACAAAATCTAGGAACAATTCAAGTTTTCAGTTTTTCATGTGGGAAGAATGTGCAGATCTTGGCACAAGCTCAAGACACTGGTAAGCAGTGATGGGTTAATTACTTGTACAAATGAACTTTAATCGATTACTTATTACTACTTGAAAAAGTAGATTAGTGATGACTTTTTTTGGAAATTCTCTAAGTTACATATTTTTTTATTTTTCTCCACCACTTGTGAAAAGCTTGAACGTTGCAAATAATTAATTTCAAGTTATTTAGTTATAGTAATATCAAGTATGTATCTCCGCTTATAAGGTTGAACTGAACGGGAGATTAATGGTTACAACAGCACGCACACACACACACTCACACACACGCCCACACATAGACACACACACACGCACACACAAAAACCTTAGTATTTTGTGTATGTTTTTGTAATTTCCACTATTGTCTGGATAACTATAAATAAGATTGTAGAGCCCCCTCCTACGGATGTCAGACAAATTACGGGGTTTATATTTTTCTGCTTATTTCCAAGTCAAAATAAGAACTTCAGGATCAAAATCAAGCCCAAAAACGTAAACCCGGGATTCATGAAATTTGAAAGCGATTTCAGAAAAAAAAAGAAGCCCAAAGCCGCTTATAATAATCGGACTTTGAGGACAGATGATCAAAATAGTTCCTGTTTTCCCAGCAACAACATACGCATCTCCCTCCTCCCCGTATTGTTTATGTTTCTGTCGCCGCATATAACTGTGACATGTAAACGGCGGTCGCTCCCCAAGATGTACATAGGGATTAAATTAAATTACAAAAGAAAATAGCAATGCACAGTGATTTGGATAAGTAACTTTAATATGGTCTACTGGATTTGAATTAGCAACGCGTTTGATTACTCGTTACTGAAAACAGTGGTCCCACGTCGCACATATTCATGAAGTACTTTTGGTTTAACAAGCCACACTTTTTTTTAGATATATATCCCAGCTGTTTATCTCAATAAATATGGTTTTATTCTATTTTTTTTAAAAATATTTTTAAAAATTATCATGCCTAACTGCACATAGTTTTGTAGAGTAGACTATTTATATGCTACTTTTAATAACAGCACAGAACTTTTGCCCTTACTGTACTGTATGTTACTCAGTTTTTACACAGATTCTATTTTGGTGTGAACTTCATTGTTTGAATTGCGTAACATTTTTACTGTGCCAACTTAATGTCCCTGGTGTTGGGCAGTAAAAATATATTCTGCTCTATTTTGTTTCACAGGATCTGAGCTGGACACCCTCTCAGAAGATGACCTGATTAGAAAGTATTTTTATGATGGCTATAGTCATTCAGAAATTTTGGATTTCTTGGGAAACCTTCACAATGTTGAAATGAGCCTATGCTCCTTGAAGAGCAAATTAAAAAAAATATCACTCTTTAGACAAAGAAGTTACACACCGCCTCACTTGGTACGTGCTGCTATTGAAGAAGAGCTAAAGGGACCAGGCCAGCATTATGGCTATCGCTTGATGTGGCAGACACTCCGACAGAAGTATTGTCTGACTGTCAGAAGAGACGATGTCATGGCATTGATGGCAGAACTTGACCCCTCAGGAGTACAACTGCGTGCAAGACGAAGATTTATAAGAAGAGTTTATAGTTCTTGTGGCCCAAACTACAGGGGTTGGACAATGAAACTGAAACACCTCTCATTTTAGTGTGGGAGGTTTCATGGCTAAATTGGACCAGCCTGGTAGCCAATCTTTATTAATTTCACATTGAACCAATAAGAGCAGACTGTGAAGGTCCAATTAGAAGGGTAAGAGCACATTTTTGCTCAAAGTATTGCAATGCACACAACATTATGGGTGACATACAAGAGTTCAAAAGAGGACCAATTGTTGGTGCATGTTTTGCTGGCGCATCTGTGACAAAGACAGCAAGTCTTTGTGATGTATCAAGATCCACGGTATCCAGGGTAATGTCAGCATACCACCAAGAAGGACGAACCACATCCAACAGGATTAACGGTGGACGCAAGAGGAAGCTGTCTGAAAGGGATGTTCGGGTGCTAACCCGGATTGTATCCAAAAAACATAAAACCACGGCTTCCCAAATCATGGCAGAATTAAATGTGCACCTCAACTCTCCTGTTTCCACCAAAACTGTCCATCGGGAGCTCCACAGGGTCAATATACACGGCCAGGCTGCTATAGCCAAACCTTTGGTCACTCGTGCCAATGCCAAACGTCGGTTTCAATGGTGCAAGGAGCGCAAATCTTGGGATGTGGACAATGTGAATTGGAATTCCAATTGTGAATTGTTCTCTGATGAGTTTGCCTTTACTGTTTTCCCCACATCCGGGAGAGTTATGGTGTGGAGAAGCCCCAAAGAAGCATGGGGGTGGATCAGTGATGGTTTGGGCTGCCATATCATGGC